CGGCAAAGCGCCTGCCTGGCAAGCGCAAGGTCGTGAGTTCGATTCCTGGTACCGGAAGAAAAAAGAAAATAAATAAATAAATAAATAAATAAACTCTTCTTTAGGATCCAATCCACTGAGCACCTGAATGCAAAGGCTACGGGTTGTTAAAGCCTGAATAGGCCCCAGGAAGGATTGAAGGCTTGGAACACTCAGGCCCTGAGCGCTTCTTCCAATCCTTTTGACCTCAGGAAAACAATTGACCACTTCTGAAGAGTGGTTCCTTTTCTGGGAATGGAATATGTACTTCAGATTCTCAGTGCATTGCACCGCACGTCTGCATGTGAGGCGTGAGACGTCTGGAAGGGGATCAAAGGGGCGCACCCTCTGACCAAGAAGCAGAAACACAGTTCCCGGTCACTTCCACTTCTCTAAAAGTTCCTTTGGAAGAACTATGAAAATAGGAACTTCCTTTCCAAAGAAGGAAGTACCCTGCTCTTGTTTAGTAATTCTGAGCAGAGGCTCTTGTGAGATACAAGCCCAGGTGTGTCAGTACCTACTTATTTCCTCCTAAAACCACCCTCCTGGCTATTCCACAAAAGTTCTGAATGATAAGGAGTTTATCAAGTACTCCTGCAGGAGGAGTTCTCTGAACGTGAGAAATTCAGCCAGAGATCCTGGTTTGCAGATCAAACGCCTCTATGTAAGACTAATCTTTTAATCTTTTTTTAAAAAGGTTTAATTTTTTTTTTAAATCTTCAAACTGATCTTTATTACATGGTCACAAAATTGCAGTTGGGAGCGATAGACAGGGAAAAACTAGTTTTGAGAGTATTTGGATAGGGGCTGGAGATGTAGCTCAGCGGCACAAGCATCTGCCTAGCAATTACAAGGTCCTGAGTTGGATTGCCAGTACCAAAAAAAAAAAAAAAAAGAGAGAGAGAGAGAGAGAGTGTTTGGATAGGAACGAGATTAGCAGAGCATGGCGGGGCATACCTGTAATCCAAACACTCAGGAGGCTGAGGCAGAAGGATCGCTGTAAATTCGAACCCAATCTGAGCTACATAGTGAGTTCAGGGCCAGCCTGAACTACGTAGTGAGACCATGTTTCAAAAGCAAAAAAGAAATACGAAATTAAGTCTTGTTTTTGTTTTGTTTTCTCCCTATTGAAATATCTTATTAATGCTTTATGGAACTTTTTAAAAAGACTAATCATGGAGTCAACATTTTCATTTCCTATCAGTAAAACTGTTTTTTTATCAGTTCCTAGCTAGAAAAAGTATCTACTGAACAAAAATCTAGGCGAAGCTCTTAATTCTGAAAATTTTCCATCCCTTTCCAGGCGTGGTGGCTCACACCAATCATCCTAGCACTCAAGAGGCTGAGCTAGCAGCATCACTGCAAGTTGCCTGGGCTACAGCGAGTTCAAAGCCAACCTGAAGTGCAGAACAAGAACCTGTCTAAAAAGAAATAAATAAAAGTTTCCATCCCAGGTGCCACCACCCTAGGTGTAAACCCTCCTTTTCCCTTTTTTTTTTTTAACCTGGCTCTTCTTAGGGGGGCCTTCTTGCTACTGCCCTTACATTGACAGAAAGGTCAAACAAACTGCCTTAGGGTCAGTCTCTCTCTCTCTATCTCTATCTCTATTTGCGGTGGGGGGGGGGGGCGCGTTGGTACCAGGAATTGAACTCAGGACCTTGCACTTGCCAGGCAGGCGCTTATGCCACTGAGCTATATCCCCGGCCCTCTATCTTTTGTATTGGTACAAGTTTGCAGTACATATGATTACATTCATCATGGGAAGTTGGTACACATCTTTTTTTTTTTTTTTACACAACACATCTTAATTCTTCATACCCTCTTCTTCCTCTCCCTCCCCCACATATCCCTCCATCTCTTGGTGAATCTGTTTCTTTATCTTAGGATCAGGTTTCTGCCTTTTACCTTTTCAACTGAGGTAATTTATGGACTTGTCTTTAAGGTGTTTGGTGTGGAATGGGCCTGGGTAAAAAACCGCCAAAACAGCATAAACAAGCCAGGGGAGTACAGATATGGAGTACAGATATGGATGACCTTGGGTAACTTTGGCTCTGGCATGAAGTTGCAGTCTTCTTAAAAGTACAGTTCGTTGTCGTTGTTTTGGGTGGTTTTGGTGAGTATCAGGAATCGAACTCAGGACCTTGCACTTGCCAGGCAGGTCCTGTACCACTGAGCTATATATCCCCAGCCCCAAAAGTATAGTTTTTAAATTACAATTTTCCTTGTCTCCTTTCTACCTATCTTTACTTTTTCTATCCTGCTTCAGGTACACCAAGGTATTATTTACAGTTAAAGCCTAGATTTAATGGTGTACTGCTGAGATTTTTACCTGTGAGGATATGTATGTGCTCGTCTGGTGTATACCTCTCATCCCTGGTGTGGCTTAATGTTTCTCATTTATATTCAGTATGGGCTGCACAGCATGGAATTAGATACTGTGAGCTTTGTTTCTGCTGCAGTCAGCCTTTTCAGTTTGTTGCCGTTGTTTTGTACTCGGGATTAAGCGCAGGGGCACTCTACGACTGAGCTATATCCCCAACTCTTTTTTATGAGACTTGTGCTTCTCATACCACAGCCTCCTAAGTAGGTGGGATTACAGTGTGCACCACCATGCCTGCCTCCAAAAAAAAATTTTTTTAAGTGCTGGAAGTAAGCCAGGTGTGGTGGCACATGCCTGCAATCCCAGCACTCGGGAGGCTGAGGCAGGAGGATTGTTTCAAGTTTGAGGCCAGCCTGGGCTACAAAGTGAGCTCAGGGCCAGCCTGAACTGCATAGCAAGACCCTGACCCAAAAAGACAAAAAAAAAGCTGGAAGTGTAACTTAGTGGTAAAGCACTTGCCTAGCATGTGCAAGGCCTTGGTTTCAACCATTAGTACCAAGGGGGGCGGGTGTTATATTCAAAGGAATAGAGAGTTCTGCTGGAATGATCTCTGCTGTCACTTCTAAAGTGAAATTAATGAAAAAAGAAACACAGCTTGACCTTTTTCCTTATAATTTTTATTTGGGTTGGCTTTTTTTTTTTTTTTTTTGAGATACAGTCTCTCTATGTAGTTCAGACTGGACTTGAACCTCAGCCTCCTGAGTTCTGGGACCACACAGGCATGCACCGCCACACCCAGCTTCATTGGCTTGTTTTCTAAATGTACTAGACATTGGATTGTTGTTGTTGTTTTGTCTTTTTGAAACAGGGTCTTGCTATGCAGTTCAGGCTGGCCTTGAGCTCACTTTATAGCCCAGGTGGCCTCGAACTCACAGTGATCCTCCTGCCTCAGCCTTCCGAGTGCTGGGATTACAAACATGTGCCACCACGCCTGGCTTTTGACATTGCATTGTTGAACACACTGTTCTTCTCATTCTGGGTTGTGCTAGAGCTGATTCATCTTGTATCATATGATACATAGCACTTTTCTTATTCCACTTCTCCATCCTAAACTACATCCTCATTCTGCACTTGAAAGTCGTTGACTGAACACATTTGCAAATGCTCATCTGAGGCTGGATACACTGCATGTGTTCTATAAACACTGTCCTTTATGTGCCATTATACATCAGGATAACAGAGATGTATATCAATCTGTAGACATCCCCAAACAGGCTCCTGGATGAGAAGGACAGGGATGTACACTCCCACTGTATTCCTGAGCAGAAGGGGCTTCTGGTAGAAGAACAGATGAAAACATGATGTAAGATTAGAAGAAAATTTTTCTCCAGACTTGTGCATAAACTATTTATTTGGTGTTTGTTTGTTTTTATCTCTTTGAGACAGTGTTTTCACTATGCAGTTCAGGCAGGCCTTGAACTCACTATGTAGCTCAAGCTGGGCTTGAATGTGCAGTGCTTCTCCTGCTTCAGTCACCCAAATCCTGGAATTGCTCACCTGTACCACCATACCTGGCCTTGTTTTGTTTCGTTTTGTCTTTTTGAGACAGAGTCTCACTATACAGTTCAGAATGGTAGTGAACTCACTTTGTAGCCCAGGCTGGCCTCAAACTCACCACAGTCCTCTTGCACATCCTCTCGAGTTCTGGGATTACAGGCGTGTGCCACCACACCCGGCTATGATGTGCATAAATTATTTTTTGTTTTGTTTTTTGCTATTTTTCCGGTACCGGGAATTGAACTTATGACTTTGCGCTAGCCAGGCGGGGGCTGTGCCCCTGAGCTAAATCCCCAGCCCCCCATGTGCATGAATTAAATTCAGTACTAAATTATAGGACCTGTAAGCATTGGAGGGAGAAGCCCGGCCTTTTTTTTCTCTATAAAATGTCCAAAGGGTGAGAGAAATACCCTGCAGCCAAAAAGAGTCAAGTGAAGTTGCTGCAGCCTCTGTCTGACTCTTCCTGCTTCCCGGGGGCAAGAGGGTTTTTTTGTTTTTTGTACCAGGAATCAAACTCAGGACCTTGTGCTTGCAGGGCAGTGCTGTGCCACAGAGCCATTCCCATGGAAGGAGCAAGACTTTTGTTGTTGTTGTTGTTGTTGTTGTTGTTACAGGATCTCACTTTGATGCTCAGGCTAGCCTCCAACTCTCGATCCTCCTGCCTCAGCCTTCCAAGAGCTGTTATTACATAACCATGCCTGCCCAAGGCAATACTTTCCATCCCCAGATCTTGTGTTCTATGACTGCAGATCTGCTTTTGACAATAATCAAGTAACTAAAAATGTTGAAGGGGATAGGGGTGCCTATAAAAAGAGTCTGCAGGTTCCTTAATGGAGAAGGAGAAAAGCTCTAAACTTACTGGCATTTTAAGTCTAGCCAGTTTGCTGCCCAGAGCTCCAGGTGGTGGACAGGAACAGATAGCAAAGCTCCAGGATGGCACCAGGCTGGGGAGGGGCACTGCCTGCCAAGAGCAAGCCACTCATCGTACTCTCTGCATCAAATTCATTTTTGCAACCATTTGTGACTCAAGCATGATACCGGGAAACATTCCCCAAAGCAAGCTGACCTGTCATTCATTGCCCAATAATTTGAAAACAAAAAGTGAGCCCAGTACTCTGAAAAAAGAAGTGGAAGATGGTATCAGAAAATGGAAAGATATCCCTTACTGTTGGGTAAGAAGAACCAATATAGTGAAAATGGCTATACTTCCAAAACTGGTACCCAGATTTAATGCAATCCCTATCAAAATTCCAATGGCATGGGCTGGGGATATAGCTCAGCGGCACAGTGCCTGCCTGGAAAGCATAAGGTCCTGAGTTTGATTCCTGGTACAAAAAAATAATTAAAAAATGAATATGATCATAAAAAATTCCAACAGCATATCTCACAGAATTAGAGAAAACAATCCAAGAATTCGTTTGGAACCAGAAGAGACCTAAAATAGCAAAGGCAATTCTGGGCAACAAAGGCAAGGTGGGGGGGTATTACAATCCCTGACTTGAAATTATACTACAAAGCTACTGTGATAAAACCAGCATGGTACTGCCCAAAACAAAACAAACTAACCAGACCCTGGGGATCAATAGAATCAACAGAACAGAGTAGAAGTTGCAGAAACAACTCCAAACACACTCAGTCACCTTATCTTTTACAAAGGTGCCAAATGTTCACTGGAAGAAAGATAGCCTCTTTAATGAATGGTGCTGGAAAAATTGGCTTTCCACATTCCAAAGATTAAAATTACATGCATATTTTTCACCATGCACTAAACTAAAATCAAAATGGATCAGGAACTAAATATTAAAAGAGAAACACTAAATCTGCTGGAAGATAGAATAGGTAGAACTTTTGAAGATATTGGCATAGACAAAAACTTCTATGAATTGTGGTGGATTGACCATTGGTGGTCAACTTATAACCCCCAGCTGAACTGGTAAGCATGGTGCTGGGTGTGGGAGGCCCACATGGGTACTGTTGCCAGCCACATACGAGACAGAACAGGAGAAGAAGTTAGGCTGTTGGGAGCTGGTAGAAGCTGTAAGGAGCCATTGATTCTTTTGGAGGAGCTCATCATGCCGGCTTTCCTGATGAACTTGGCTGTTTCCATCCTCCAAAAAGCTCAGGACCTTGTTGGCACTGAGAATAGCTTGGGTTCACTTTGGGGGAGCTCTGGTCCTCACTTTGAGCATCACTTCCTGGCTCCAGAGGGGAAGATGGTATACTGCTGGTCTCCTGGAAAAGCTTGCTGCATTGGCTTCCCTGATGGGAACTCGGCCATCTTGATCATCAGAGGAGCTCGGGACCTCACCATTGCTGAGGATGGCTGTGGTACCTTTTGGGGGAGCTCTGGTTCTTCTGAGCATCGCGTCATGGCTCCAGTGCAGATCCCTCAGCCTGCTGGCACAGGTCCTTCATCCTGCTGGCACAAACTTTCTAGATTCCACCACTGATCTTTGGGCCTTCCCAGTGCAGATCCGTGAAACAGGCCTGCATGAGACATTGTTATGGGCTCTAGGCCACCAGTTGGACTTGTGGGAGGCACTGTTATGAGCTCTAGGTCTTCATCTGGACTCATGCAGGACATTTCTGTGGGACCCAGGCCCTTGGCTAGATTCATTGGTCTTAGTGTGTGGACAGATATCCTGAACCCTTTTGTATAGCATTCTTTGGGTGACGATTATAAATAATCTTACAAAATATGTGTCCTGTATTATATATTGTTTCACCTTGCAAAATAAGCCCCAAACCAACACATGAATAAAACCCAGCTGCACAGGAAGTATCACAAAGAATCAACAACTGGGATCTCATCTTATTAAAATGTTTTTGCATAGTAAGAGAAACCACCAAGAGTGTGAACAGACAACCCACAGTGTGGGAAAAATTTTTTTCCAGCTGTTACTCAGACAAAGGACTACTATCTAGAATATATAAAGAACTAAAAACAACAGATGCCCCAAATTTAAAGACCCAATCAAAAAATGGGCATCAGATGAATATACACTTCTCAGGTGAAGAAGCAGAAACAGCAAATAACTATATGAAAAAATATTCAACATCATTGGTCATTTCAGAGATGCAAAGTAAAACAATACTGAGATTCCATCTCACCCCACAAAGAATGGCTATCATCAAAAAAATTAACCAATAACAACTGCTGGTGGGCTCTGGGGAAAAAGTACCCTTCTCCACTGTTGACGGGATATAGACTGGTGTGACCATTGTGGAAATCATTGTGGGGATTCCTCAAACAACTAGGACTATGGGCTGGGGATTTAGCTCAGCGGCACAGTGCCTGCCTGGCAAGGCGAGGTCGTGAGTTCAATTCCCGGTACTGGAAACGGCCCCCCCAAAAAAACACTAGGACTAGAGGTTCAATTATACCCAGCTATTCCTCTTCTCCATATCTTCCTGAAAGAATTAAAAGCATCTACCAGGTGTAGTGGTGCATGCCTATAATCCCAGCACTCAGGAAGCTGAGGCAAGAGGATCATTGTGAGTTCAAGACCAGCCTGGGCTACAAAGTGAGCTCAAGGCCAGCCTTGAGAGGAAAGGGGATTGTATGAACTGCATACCAGTTCAAAAAAAAAAAAAAACCAAACAGAGAAAGGAAAGAAAAGCATCATATCAAGGCCAGGGATACAGCTCAGTGGCACAAGTGCCTGCCTGGCAAGAGCAGGGTTCTGAGTTTGATTCCTGGTACCAAAAAAAAAAAAAAAGAGAAAGAAAAAAATAATAACAGCATCCTATCACAGGCATATATGCATACCCATGTCTCTAGTGGCACAGTTTGTAATATGTAAATCTCAGAAACAGCCCAAATGCCCATCAACTGTTGAATGTCTAAAAAGAATGTTATACAGTGGAGTACTAGTCTGCCATAAAGAAGAATTAGTTTGAGACATTTCTGGCTAAGTGGATGCATCTTGAGGACATACATTTAAGTGAAATAAACCTGACACAGGTGTAAATACAGTAGTATTTCTTTGGTGAGAAAAATTGAAAGTGTAAATAAGGATTAAAATGTATAACAGCTATTGTGAAATAGGAAAAAATGTTCAAATGGAAATGGGAACTAAAGATGGGGAGGGGAAAAGGAAGGAAGGGAAAAGAAAAAGTGAAAAAAAATAGAAATAAAGCTTTTGTAAAGCCAGGCGTGGTGGCTCACACCTGTAATCCCAGCGCTTGGGAGGCTGAGGCGGGAGGATCATTGAGAGTTTGAGACCAGCCTGGACTACAAAGTGAGCTCAAGGCCAGCCTGAACTACCCAGCGAGACCCTGTGTCAAAAAGACCAAAAAAAAAAGTTTTTGTGAATAAGGAGAAGGGGGGGTTGTATGGAGGTTAGGGGAATGGAGAAAAAAGAATCAAGTTGTGTCATGTACAGGTACAAATTCGCTGTGATGAATGTGATCATAATGTATACCTAAAATGTGCCAATAAACGTAATTAATTTTAAACAAAGAAGAAAACAAAGTCAGGAGACCTAGGAGGTCAAACACGTCCACTAGAGGGAGCCCCACCAACTCAGTGCTGCTGGGAACCTCACAAGATCGCTCCTCAGCACCTGTTTGAGGACTACCACGTGGGAAAGAGGGGAAGTGAAGCAGTAGATTAAACACTGCGAGAGAAAGCAGCCTTGTACATACCCAGCTAACACCCAGGACTGTCAGAAATCACAAAATCAAAGATTTAAAGACCAAGAAACTGAGACTGAGCAAAGTTAACTAGGCTGCCCGAGCTCAGGTACTCGATCTCACTCACATCTCCTCTCTAACCAGTCCCCTTTCCTGACCTCTGCGTCCCACTGGGTTAGCACCCTGGAGCCCACAGATCCACTGCTCAGTTCTCATTTATCTGAAGTGGAAAATTCTTTTCGCTATGTGTTCCTGCATTTGTTTCCTTTGTATGCTGTACAATGCTTTTGTGAAGGGCTCTTCAGTTGTAAGCCTAATTATGTCATTTTGCTAAGGGGACCCCAGGATGTAAACTGTCCAAGATGGCTCCCGTCAGTCCTTTTCCTCCGTCAGCACGGCACTGTTATCTCAGATCCAAACTGCAGCAGTGCCTAGTCATAGCTAATCAGCAACAAAGCCTTTGCTCTCCAAACCATACCTAGGGCTTGGGGACAAGGGGAGAACTGACCCTCCAGGACCTTCCTATCTTAAGCTGGGTGAGCTGATTTAGCCCGCTGCACCTCCCAGCGAACTCCGTGTTTCCCAGTTGCCTGGACAACAGGCAGCCCCGGGAACCCAGCCTGCCATTCTCAGTCCTGCCCCGGGAATTTTGCCATCCTGGATTGGCTCCCGGGGTCGGGCTCCTCCTCAGGCTCCACCTACTTGGGGCTCTCAGCCCTTCCCTGTGGGTGGGGCCCTCCCCTGGGAGACCCCACACTGAGAGAGAGACTGAGACCATCCCATAGGTAGGAAAAGGGGGTGAGGATGATGGAGAGGTACAGAAACTTATTTTCTCTAAAAGAGGGATGCGGGGAGGGACTCCTGACATAGAGCCATCCTGCCCCTGACCCCAGCCCCGCCTGCGGTTCCCAGGAGACCAAGAGCTTCCGGAGAGTGTGAGACAGCTTCCAGACCGGAGTGTGACTCTCATGAGACTCCTGGTTCTTTCCAGGGGTCAGGCAAGCATCCCTGCGTCCAGCCCTACACACCAAGTCCTTCCTTCCCCAGGACATGCCACCTAAGAGCAAAGAAAAAAGGAGAAAAACTGGCGCACAGAAGAAAAAACAGAGTCCGGGTGCCGGTGAGTGGCGGTGGGAAATGGGTGCCCCTGCTTGTCTGTGTCCTGGCATGGAGACACACAGGGCTCCTCAGGGAGCATTCAGCCCTCTCTGTATGACAAGGTGGAGTTTTCTTGTCCTCTTCACAGCCTTGAACATGGGTTCCACAAAGCTAAGGAACGAAAGAAATGACCTCACACACTCCCAGAGTCCTGTCTATCTCTGTGCCTTCCTATAGATTTGTCACCCACAGGGGCTGAGCAGGGAGGACACACAGCGGTGACGTCAGCAGACTTTGTCATCAGGGATCAATGGATTGGTCCTCTGATCTCATGCAAGAGCAAGTCCAGGGGGTAAGACTGCCTGAGACCGTGGTAAACTAAGTCAAGCTTTACCAACTTGTCAGGACAGATGTGGAGGCCGAGGCCAAGCACAGGCTGGTGTTTCTGGAGAAGGAGCTGCTCCAAGACCACTTGGGTGAGAAGGGTGAAGACTGGGGGACATCAGAGGCGGCACATGGGCATTTCTGTGTCCTGGGGGCGGGGGGCTGAAGGATTGGAGATATGTGTGGGACTAAGACAAACACTAACCATCACGAATGGAAAAAGACTGAGGGAGGGCTGGGCAGTAAGGGCTGATGAAGAAAGCTCCCACCCCCATCCTGGAGGTGGAAGCCAGGGCTTTACTCCTGAGGTACATCCCCAGCCGCTTTTATTCTATCTTGAGACAGTCTTACCAAGTTTCCCAGGCTGGCCTTGAACTTGTGATCCTCCTACCAATATTTCCTAAGTAGCTGGGATTATAGGCAGGAAGGTACTTTTAAAAAATTATGTTATTTATTTATTTATTTATTTATTTAGGGTTTTTTTTAGAGACAAGATGTCACTATGTAGTTCAGGTTGGCCTGAACTCACTATATAGCGCAGGCTAGCCTCAGACTTGCAGTGATCCTCCTGCCCAGTGCTGGGATTGCAGGTGTGCCCCATTACAATGCCCGAAGGGAAGGCACTTTTTTTTTTTTCTGCATTTTTGAGACTGTCAAACTCACAGCGATTCTCCTGCTTCAGCCTCCCGAGTGCTAGGATTACAGGCATGCGCCACCATGCCCTGCTTGGAAAGTGCTTTTTTTAAATAAAATCATGAAGGGAATTTTTACTTCTTAGTAATGAATAGCCCATGGGATTTTGGGGTAGGGGAGATAAATAGAATAACAGGCTGGATACCCTGCCACCACGTTTACAGAGGTGGGCAGAGTTCATCGAGCCTGTGGCTGATGATTCTGCGTGACCCGCAGCCAATTCTGAGGATGGCTCTGGGACTATTCACAGCTATGTGGAGGGATGAGGCCCGCCGAGCCAAGGCTTCTGAAGACCAGCTGAAGCAGAGGTTGCAAGCACTGGCAGCTGAACTGGAAGGTGCCCGAAGCGAAGGGAAGGCCGTATTTGCAGGTGTGTGGTGAGCAAAAGACAGAGGACTGGAGGAGGACAACCAAGGGGCCCAAGGATGCAGGAAGATGAGTTATGGAGAGGCTCTGACTGCCAGGCCTCATCTCAGTGTTCCCTGCACAGGCAGGATCCAGCAAGATCCAAAGGCAGAGATCTCTGGCATCCCAGACAGGGACCTTCCTGAATGCCTGATGTCATCTGCTTGATGCTTTGTGGGGTACAGAAAGCCATTATGTCATCCCATGAGTTGGGAGAGGGGCTGGAATCTATCCTAAGCTGGTATTGGGGAAGGAGTGATGGTTCAGCACCTCCCAGCTTCTCAGCATCACCACAAGTAGGACCAAGAAGTTCTCATGCTTCTGTCTTCCGCACCCACAACCTCATTTCCTTTCCCTATGCCTCTGTCCTCCTCGGGTCCCTGGCTGGCCTCTGCCCCACCTCAGAGATGAGCCGCCAGCGCCGGACCCTGCAGGAGGAGATGGAGGCCCGCAGCAAGCAGCTGGAGGAGGAAGTGAGGTGCCTGCAGGAGCAGCTAGGTAAGTTCCCCGCCCCCTTCCTTCCGCTCAGAAGGTGACTGACAAGGTCCCCGGGTGAAGGGTGCTCGCCAAGGTCTTTCTCGGAAAGGTCGCCATCTGTTGGCTGCGTGTGAATTTGGATCGCTTTCTCCCCTGACTTTTCCCCTTACCGTGCTGAGATGCAGGAGATGAGTTAGAGAAAAGCTAGGTCTTCTGCTCCCTGTCCTCTTTTGCTTGGTCTCTCCAAATCCAGTGTGTACTCCCCTCCACTTTGTTCTCCAGCGCAAAACTTATTCCCTCTTCTTTTTTTTTTTTTTTTTTTTTTTTTGGTACTAGGAATTGAACTCACAACCTCACACTTGTCAGGCAGGCACTGTGCCGCTGAGCTATATCCCCGGCCCTCCCTCTTCATTTAACTGACTTACAACAAAACTAAGGGAAACTGTTAGACTCATTTGCTGCTATGCCTTCAAGGTCTACCCCCTAGAAAATGCTAAATAACTACTTACCAAATAAATGAATAGAGGGCCAGGGATATAGCTCAGTGGCACAGCACCCTCCTGGCAAGCGTGAGGTCGTGAGTTCCATTCCTGGTACCAAATAAATGAATAAACCCTCTAAAAAGCAGAAATATAAAAAACGAGAAGCCTTTGTTTCTCTTCCCTCTTGCGTATAGGAAAGTTGAAATAGCTTAGTGTGGCACAAGAGATCTTTCACAATTCTGGCCTCGAAGTGTTCTTATTCTCAAAGTGTTCTTATCCGAAAATATCTTCAGTAGCTCTTTATCTACCATACAGACCCTAAATTCCTTCCCTGCTCTTTGCCTTAGTTCAAATCAACATTTATTGAACACCTTCTGTATACCAGGCATTTTGCTGTCCATTTTCACACTTAAGAATCACAACAAGCAAGATATCTATCTTCTTCTCTTTAAAGATGAAGAAACGGAGACTCAAAAAGAGCTGTGTCCCAGATTATACAAGTTATAAATGCCAACCAGACTTTGGACTCATCTCCTGTCTCAAACCCACTATTCTTTCTGTTATACCCGATGGGTTTTTGGCATTCTGTTTTGTTTTTTGTTTTTGTTTTTGCCTTGAGACAGTGTCTTATTATGTCATTCAGGCTGGCCTTGAACTCTCTTGTAGCCTGGGCTGGCCTTGAACTCATGGCAGTCCTCCTGCCTCAGCCTCCCGAGTGCTGCTGGGATTACTGGATTACTGGTGTGAGCCACCACACCCGGCAGATCTTTGGCTTTTATTTATTTATTTATTTATTCTGTCTTTTTGAGACAGGGTCTTGCTATGCAGTTCAGGATGACCTTAAGCTCACTGTGCAGCCCAGGCTGGCCTCAAACTCACAACAATCCTTCTGCCTCAACCTCCCGAGTGCTGGGATTATAGGTGTGAACCACCACGCTTGGCAGGTCTTCGGCTTTTTGAGAGACTACAGGAAAGTTGGTGACCCTGAAGGAGTCTAGGAACCTTTGAGGACTGTCCAGTGGTAGAGTGTCACATCCTGTCCTCTTTGATCCTTCTGCCCTACCCCCCAGAAACCTGCCAGACGGAGGCTGAGGCTTCGAGGAAAGAAAATGAGCGAGCCCTTCGAGAACGAGACCAAACGCTGGCTCAGCTTCGGGCCCATGTGACAGACATGGAAGCCAAGTACGAGGAAATCTTAGATGTAAGCACCGCCCCTAGAGCCCCATCTGCCCAGCACTCTGCACTCCTCCATCACCACACCCCATAGCTGGGGTGACAAGGGGCAGTCCAGGGGAGGGTGCAGGGTCTCTAGGGCACCGTGCTGTACCCCAAGTGCAGCTGGAGGGGATACACCAGCCGGTTGGTTCAGGGGAGGTGTCTGCAGGGCAGCCTGGACCTGGTCCTGGCCAAGCTGAGAGCCATCAAGCCTCAGTGGGACGAGGCTGCGCTGAGACTCCATGCCAGGCACAAGGAGCTGCTGCACCAGTTTGGTCTCAACCCCCTGGATCTTTGAGGCCACTGGCCTCTAATTTCCAAGGCCCAGCAATAAAGTATCTTGACGTAGAACTCAGCAGGGCTGTGGGCTTGGCCTCTGGTGGGGAGGAGGCACGATTCAGTTCTGAGTTGACCCATTATCCCAAAGGCTGAGTGACAGGAGAGAAACTGACAGAAACGGTATCCCATCCCTTCAGCCTAGGTCCTTGGTGATTCCTTCAAACTACCTCCCTTTCCCCCCCCCAAAACACAAAGACACACAGATTTATAGGAAAAGGCCATTCTATAACAGGACATGGTAGTAACTAAGCACCCGCCTTCACAATTCTCAGGTGTCCAGAGGGCAGGGTATAACCACTCTCCAAATTCTTGTATTACACTGGAGTCAGACCTAGGCCAGCTTCCAAATGGTTTTAATCCTAGCCAGCCCCACAGCACCCCCTCCTCAGGCAGAACTTCATCCTGGTGTGAGCTCTCTGGAGTTCCCACAGCGTTCCCTGGGGCCTCAGGTTTCTTCACCGGCCTCTGACCACATCCTCAGCTGGAACGGGGCCCAGGGGAGGGGAGTGAGCCCTGGGCAGCCCCGTTAGTGATGCCTCGGAATCCTCCAGCTCCCACCTCTGAGCACCCCTGCTCCACCACTTCAGGCTGCAGAATGGCAGTGGGAAGCCACCCGGAGATCTGGTAGATCCGTGCTAAGCAGAGCTGTTCTACAGCAGATCTGAGGCCAGAGCCCAGTCCTGCACAGAGAAAGCAAGGTTGTTCCAGGAGCAGAAGAGTTCCCTTTCCCTGCCCCAGCCTGTCCTGAAATGTCCAGGAGTAGCCCTCGTTCTGCGCGTCCCCACCTCCCAGGACCTGAAGTCCCCACCTGCAGCCCCACACAGTCCTCCCGGTCTCCTGTTTACTGGCTTGTCGTTGCCCTTCTTTGGCTGTTCACAGCTCTGTCTGTTCTTCCTTACCTCTCCAGACCCGGGGGGAATCCAGGCATCCAAGCCCTCCTGAGACCTGGCTGCCAGCGTCAGGCAGAGGGGTGGCTCAGCTTCGGCCAGCTGCCGAAGCCTTTCCGGGTCACTGTCACCTCCCACAGGATACCCGTTCACCTCCAGAACCATGTCTCCCATTTGCAGCCCTGCCCTGGCAGCTGAGCCTCCTGGGGTCACCTGGGGGTACAGGGGGACATATAGATCATGGGGCAGCATGGAGAGGTGCTCCGGGAGGGAGGCAGAAGTAGGCTGATGGGGAGGTAGAGGTGGAAAAGACCCAAGGTTCATGGGGCATCGGTCACCTGAGAGATGAAGAGACAAGGCCCTCTGGCCGCACAGCTGAGTCGGAAGCCATAGCCACCACCGGGCCCGGGGTACAGGAAGCACTGGCATGAGCCAGGAAGACCCGGAGACCCAGCTTTGTGTTCGACTGGTTGATTCTGGGTCTCACCGGGAGAGGTCAAGTTGGTGGCCTCGGGGGAGGCAGCAGCCTCTGTGACCTCCAAGAAGAGGAGTGGGGACAGGCGAACCTGAGGGGCAGATGGAGCAGCTGTTGCCCTTGAGCCCTGCTCCGCTCCTGCCCATCGCCTGGCCCCGCCTCGCAGCACCTACCATGCGGAAGAAGCGGTCAGCCTCAGGGTCGACGACAATGAGGGAAACCTGAGAACCCTGCTCCCGGATCCTGGACACCGTCTCCTCGTGGCCCAGCGCCTCCACACTCTCCCCAGCCACAGCCACCAGCCGGTCCCCTGCCCGCATCCCGGCCTTCTCGGCCGGCAGTCCTGGGTCCACTTCCCGCAGGAACTGCCCTGGGACATAGACATCCTCACTTCTCCTCCCCAGCTCACCCCTGTGCAGTCCCAGGTCACCATGTTCACACGCAGGGGGTGGGGGACACGGGAGGAGGAGGCCCCAGCCTGGGGTTTAGAGAAGGACCCCTCTTTTGTGCCCTAAGAAGCATGCACATGCGTGTACCTGCCCAGCCCAAGCCCCACCCTCCCTGCCCACCGCCAGGGCTCCCACTCACCAAGGCGGCCGTCTGTGTCCTTTTCCTCCCGGAGAAGGAACCCAAAGCCCTTGGGTCCCTTCTCTAGGTGCAGGCAACGGGGCTTGGCGGGCAGTGCCCAGCCCTCTGCCAGGGGTGCAGCTAGGGGCATCCCCAGCTGGTGACACTGTTCCTCCACCTCTGGCCCTGCCACCAGCAGAGTCACCTGCTTTCCACTCTGCCAAAGCTGTGGGGACCCAGCGGGGCACAGCGTCAGCCATCTGGATAGAAAGGGAAGAGGCGAACGCCGCCTCACAGCCCCTCCTCCCAGGCACAGGACTGAGGCACTAAGCGGAGGGCCTGGCACAAACTGGAGAGGGAGGGAAGGTGAGGAACGCAGACCACCAGAGGAGGAAGCCGGGTACCGGTGGAGGAGTGGGCGGCTCGCTGTGGGCCCTGCCCAGACGGGTGGAGGTGGGGGAAAGGGCAGCAGGCAGCTACCTTCTTGCTGAGCTGGTTATGAGTGAACTTCTCCACACTGACTCCATTCACTTCCAGCAGCCGGGCCCCCGGGGGCACCCCTGCCCGGTCGGCTGCTCCTCCTGCACTTAGCACCAGCCAGAAAGGACCCTGAGCTCCTGGAACCAAAAATGAAAAACAGAAAGGAAGATCCAGTCTGCTGCCTGCCTGGAACAGAGGCTCAGATCCCCTCCTTGACCATGGACTTAACCTCTAAGCTCACCGTGGGTGACACTGAAGCCAAAGCCACCCTCATCTTTCACTACGTGGCACAGCCGGGGCCGGACCCCTGAGCCTAGGACAGGACAGAGGTGGGCATCGTTCCCTTGCTGAGCTCGGGCCACATCATACACATGCCTCGCCAAGACTGTCAGCAACACCCGGGGACCGCTGGCCCGGATGTGACGCACCACCTAAACAGAGGCATGTGGGATGAGAGGAGGTATCCCCCTTGCCAGTTCCCAGGACCTCCCTGGAACTTACATTTTGCACTGTGGAAACTAGCCCTCTAATATCTTTACCCAACTCTTCTTACCTGGGCACCCTTAAATCCTGGGGCAGGGGTGGGGCTTGGGTCCTGTACCATAGTGCGAGGGAGGTGGCTGACCAACTTCCCTCCCTGAAGTGTGATGGAATGCTCTCCCATACCACAGGGTGGCCCAGCCCAGCCTCACCACCGCATAGTCCTCGTGTTCCACCACACTGTTGTTCACTGCCAGGATCTGGTCTCCTGCCCGGAGACCTTGGCGGTGGGCAGAGGTGCCTGGCTCCACCCTGCACACCTCATGCCCAGCCCTGCCCAGCTTGTGCTGAAGGTGAAAACCAAAACTCGTGCCCTCCTCTTTGCTCAGCAGACAGAAGCGGGGCCGCTCCAAGTTCCAGGGATCTGGAGGGGGAGATGGGCAGTAGGAAAGGGGGAGGGGAGGGCCACATCCCAAGTATAAGTCCATTGCATGACTGGCAACTACTGCCTCCTGCCAGGGTCCCCCTCCATCCAGTGAGAGGTTGGGCAATGTGGCTAACATTGTGTGGGCATCGTGCCTAGGACAGAGGAAGCACTGCCCCCCACCCCCGCTCTGCACAGTCACTGATATCAGAGGGAGGCAGAGTGGTTGCCAAGGTGATAGGAAGCTGTGTGAACTGCGGTGTCTCCAGGGAAAGGCAGCGGTTGTCAGGGGGCAAGAGAGGGTTACCAGAGTAGTTGTAGTCTTCGGCCAGGCAGAGGACTGGATTATCAATACCCAGCTTGGGGTTAAACTTAAACTTCCTGCAAGGAGGCAGGAAAGACAGAAGAGGCTGGCAGCTGGACTGGGGGCCTCAGCTCTCTTCCATGCTAATGCTGAAGAGCCACCCCCACCTTCACCTTCTTCCTCCCCTTGCCCAACTTCACGCCACTTACAGAGATGATGACGCTGTGTCCCGAAGGTCTACTGGACAAAGAAGTAGGTGAAAGGAAGGCAAGTCTCCCTCCCCCACACTCACACCTCTTCTATGGTCATAAACTGAAAGAACTTGGGGAACCCCAAACCCAGTTTTTTCCCCTGTTCAGCTCCAAAAGGAGTTTCCTTTTTTATGAATGTCATATGAACAGGGTTGTTGTATGTTTCCCCTGACCTTCCCTCCAAGTTGTGGCTCATAAATCTGAGCATATCAGTACAGGGTGTGGACTAGGTAGACAGAAATATCAACTCACTTCTTTCCTTCTAACTTCTGGGTATTTGCCTCAGGGCTCCAAGCCTCAATATCAGGTGTCCCCTACTCCCAAAGCCTCCAAATCTGCCCACCAACCCTGACTGCCCTACGCAAACCCCCCCAGAGGATCTCCCAGCCTCCTACCTGCAGCTGCTTCCATAGTTGGATCAGTGACCCAGTGCTCAGACTAGGGACAAGGTCCATTGTAAACAGCTGACCTTCCCACCTACCCCCTCCCAAGTCCCGCCTCCTTGAAGACGCTGTGATAGAAGCCACAGGGTAATGGTTAACAATGATGAGAGTCTTATCCTCTGGGGAAGTATGTGTGTTCCTCCTGCCCATCCCTGGGCCCCAACTTTCTCCGGAGATCCTGTACTGAACCCGGTTGCCCCTCAGCACGTGAAAAGGCAGACTGCAAGGCCATCAGGAGAAGGGAGATGGGAGTTCTATAGGCCTCTATGGCCAACCCCATCCCAGTATCTTGTACACGAGCCCCTCCCCAGCCCCTGCAGCCTCTGAACCTAGTGTCCAGGAACCTGTGCAATGGAAAGTGGTCAGCATCTTAATCAGAATGACCAAAAACAATGCCCTTTCTTGGAAGCATCAAACAAGGAAGTGGAGGCATGATAGGTGGAAGACACTCACGTTTTTAATAGCAGCAATTTGGGTGCACCTGCCCGCCCGTGGAGGCCACCAAGTCATCAGTACCAGTGCGGTGCAGGGAGCATGAGGACCAGGGAAAGCACCAATGTGACGGCATCTTCACGCTTACAGGGGAGCACATGGCAGGAGCGAAGGCCTGGAGTGGCAGATGTGAGAAGTGTGCCCCTCAGTGGCACAATCAGAGGCTCCTTGAGTGGAAGGAAAGGCAAGACGGGTGGTGGCACCACAGAGCAGTGTGGCCACTCAAATGCCACAGCCTTAGTCCTACAGGAGAAGAGGCATGCCCCATCTCCAAGACCAAGCATCAGTTCACCATCTCTGACTCTGACCCTGGAAACTCCAGCTGTACAGGCCCTGGTTAGACACATTCCAGGGGGCGACTGGCACAGCTGCGCCCACTGCTTTGCCTCCAGCCCTGAAGCATTATATATATATATCCATATATCTCTAGATAGTGGGAGTTGAACCCAGGGCCTAGCATGCTAGGAGAGCACTTCACCACTGAGCTAGATCCCCAGCCCTTTCTGTTTTTTTATTTTGAGACAGGGTCTCACTAAGTTGCCTAGGCTAGTCTAGAAATTGCAATCCTCCTGCCGCAGCCTCTTGATTGGCTGGGCCATTACAGGCATGTGCCACTGTGCCCAGCTGAGGGGGGCTTTCTAGAAGAAGTAGGACAAGCCAGGCAGGAAGTAGTCTGGGCCAGAGAGGAGGAATTCCAGCCAGTGGTCCCACAGTTAGGTCTCAGTTGCCACTGTTCAGCTGCCAGGGCTTCCGAGCTGCTCCAGGAGGGCCTTGACTTCACCCTCCACTCGCAGCAGCTGGGCCTTGCGCCAAGGATTAAGGGTGGCGCCTCGGTTATCTTCCAGATCCCGAAGCAGTAGCTCGAGGTGGCGCCGGACCCGGGTCCAATCCCAGCTGTTAAGGTTCCGCTGTACTTCGCTGAGGATCATCGACCAGTACTCCGACACGGCTGCCCCCTCTGTCAGTGATGCCACGACCCGGGCACCACCTTCAGCAGTGCCCCCCAAGTCTCGAAGGACCTGGCGGCCCTCTGAGCTCAGCTCATTGAAGTAAAGGCTGGCGGGAAAGAGAAGGCAGACATCAGTCATCAGGGCTCTGAGAAAGAGGACCCGGGGTGGATTCACGGAGTCAGCAAACAGGATGGGCGCCTCGGCTGCCAACCTTGATGGGGTAAGAATTTGCAATAAGCCAGTGACAGCAGGTGTTGGCCAACAGGTGGCAGGGACTGACATGAGACTTCAGTAGGTCCCTATGAGAAATGGCAGTAGGAAATCGGGACGGGGTAAGACCCAGTCACAGACAAGGTGGGTTGGTTCAGCACTGAGTTGGCAGGGGTCAGCCAGAATCTAGGAAGAGAGGACAGGCACCAGGCCCAGGCCAGAGCAGTCCTGGGGCAGGAAAAACATGGTGGAAAGGAAAGGACTGAGGGGCAGGGGCCATGGGACCAGGGACAAGACTCACTGCAGCAGTTCCAGGGAAGGGTGCTCCCGGGCCGCCTTGGCCAGGGCCAGGGCTGCCTTGTCACCAGCGCCATTGTAGGCCACGTTCAACTCCTGCAGCTGATGGTTGTGGTCCAGCTGGGCAGCCAGCAACTCCAGGCCCTCGTCCCCAAGGCCAGTATGCAGCAGGGATAGGTGTGTCAGCGAGGTGTTTCCTGTCAGCCCCTCCAACAGCAGGGCGACACCTGCTGCTGTCAGCGGGTTGTTAGATAGCCTAGGGCCACGAGCAAGCCAAGGTTATGAGGGCCCATGGTAGATCTTTTGTGCTGGGCATCAGGACTTGGGCCAAACGGGACACAACCGGGACACAAGCTAGAGTGCAGACAGCCTGGGTACAGAAATGCAGGCCCAGGAGAAGGAGGCAGGGACACAGGGGCTGTGGCCCCTACAGAGGCGGGACCACAAGGGAAAGTGGGCTTTTCCTTTCCTTTTCTCCCTCTTTCCATCTCTTTTGCTCCCCGACTCCCTTCCTCGCTCACCTCTCCCTCTTCCTCAGCACTATGTCCCATCGTCCTTTTTCACTGCCTCCCCAGCCCCTGCTTCTCCCTCCTCTGGCTCCTCCTCCTGCTCCCATCTCCCTTTACTACAATCAGAAATGAGGATCCCAGTAAATCAGCCAACACTTTGGGAGCTCCTAAGAGTGCCCAGCCTTAGGGTTATCCTTACGAGGCTGCAGGGAAGGACCAGTGGTTCTGTTACCAGGCAACCGGCTCAGTTATTACTGAAGCCTCCCTGCCCCTAGGCTGATGTTAGCTGGAAGGCTCTCTCAGCACCTATTACCCGGCTCTTGTCTCACTGCTAGTAATGAACCTGGGCTTGGGGGCCGCACAGGGTCTTGACTCCCACTCCCTGAACTGTGCCAAGTATACTGTGAGGCACACAGTCACACTCGACCTGCGCTGGCCACCAGGATGGTCACAGCCTCGCCCCAACACCCCTCCCAGGGCACTCACCGCAGGGTGGTAATTTGGCACTGGTCATGCAGCAGCAGGTCTCGGAGGTCCCTGCAGGCCTCGGGGCCCAGGCTGTTGAGTTGCAAGCTAGAGCAGAATGTGGCCGAAGAGGAGGCGAGAGCAAGGCGGGAGTTTAGGATGGAGGCTTCCCATCCACAGTGCCCTTTCCTCCCCAGTCTGCCTCTTGCATCACACCTGCCTGCTACCTGTTGCTCCTGTCACCTCCGCCCACACCAGATTTCATTCTACCCTAGTATGGCCTGGATGTGGTTTGTTCCACAAGACTTAGGAGGCTTGGTCCCCAGCATGGCAGTATGGGGGACCACCACATTAGGAAACGAAGTGGCAGAAGCTTGAGAGAGGAGGCCTGGTGCAGGGCAATTAGGTCGCTGGGGTTCCCCTCTTGACGGAGATTAATATTGGCCTCAGAGTGAAGGAGTCTCCCTGAGCATGGGTAATGTTAGAAAGCAAGGCCACGCTGTGCTTGGCCTCCTCTGCTGCATGTTCTAATGCAGCCAGGGGGGCTTCTACACAGGTTGAGTCAATGCAACTGCCCAATCTCAGACTCTCAACCTCCAAACTGGGAGTTAAATACTTTTCTCTTCTTTCTAAAGTATCCAGCCTCAGCTGTTTTGTTATGGCAACAGAGAAGAGATGAATATACACCTTCTGGTCCTTCTCCAGGATTGTTGGCTTCCCTAGCACCTTCTCCCTCCCACAACTCTCTCCTCTCTTCATGCCTGTGCATGAGGATGGGTCCTCACCCCAGCTTCCGGGCACGCAGGAAGACAGGCATGAGCGTACGCAGCCCAGCAGGGTCCAGCTGGCAGGAGGCCAAGTTCACTTCGTCCAGGGCATGCTTTCCACTGCCCAGGACAGCTGCCACCACCGTACACTTAAGGGGTGTCATGCGCACACCTGCCAAGTTGAGCCGGCGCAGGGAGCTCAGCACCTCCGCAGAGAAGCGCTGGTTTTGGAACTCATAGTGGAAGAAGAGGTAGTCAAGGAGCTCCGAGGGAGGCAGCGCCTGCCGGCCCAGCTTGCCCAGCTTCTTCTTGATGGCCTGGGCATTCTCCAGGACATCCAGGTTCTTGATGGAACAGCCGAGCTGAGCCAGCACTGCCCGGTTGTGGGCAGACAGAAGCCCCCCCATGAACACAGGGAAGAGTTCAAAGACTTCATCCTCTGGGGGCTCATCAGGGTGGCGCCGGGGACCCTCTACGCCCAGGATGCTGGCACCCATCTGGTCCAGGACATCATCATTGTAGTAGTCCTCCTCTCGGAACATTTCCAGCACCATGGCCTGGGCCACGGCCTCCCGGCTCTTCCCCACCATGCGCCCAAACACTCGAGGAACCACCTGGAAAAGCAGCAGGGAGGGTGCTGTGACCTCCCAGGGCTGGCTCAGCCACCAAGGTGCAGGTTAAAGTCCACCCCTTCTGCTCCAGCCTCACAACTTGCAGGGTCACACTGCTCCCCTGCCGCAGCACCTCCACAGCGCCCCACTCCCTGTGTGGCAAACTAAACAGCCTAGAATGCGATGCTTTCCATAATCTTGCCCCAGCCGGACCCTTCCAGGGCCATCTGTCAAACACCTGTCTCATGCACTCCAGGCATTAGGAACTTCTTCCTTTTTCCTAAACACCCATCCATTTCCAAGCCCAGGAATTAGGAGGGAGGAGTGAGCATGCGCTGTTGTCCCTTGGTGTCATCAGGGACTTGGTTCCCAGAACCCCTCATGGAGACCAAAAACCCATGAATGCTCAAGCCCCTTATATAAAATGCTGTAGTATTTGCATCTGGCTTACCCACATCGTTTGTGTATATATAT